CGATGCAGCTGCAGAGACCCACGCCGGCTGCCGGCCGCAGAGGTGCGGTCTCACGTGCCGTTTTGAGCGACTCTGAGGCATGTCGCTGTGTGGTCCACAGAGGAAGGGAGCCGGCAATGAGCCCTGGCCGGGCGTCGCTGTAAGTTTGTACCCCTTAGTGAACAGACACAATGTCTCATCATCCCCACACCGCAGCGTTAACGCATGTTAGTCCCTGGTTACAGATTAGACACTGAAGCGGAGAGGATAGAGCACCCAAGCGTTTAGGATCAGAGCCGGGCGGGCCGATGCCTGCCTTGCCCAGACCACGTGGTGCAGCCCTCAGTCGTGACACACGCTCTGCCCGCCTGTCCGGGAAGTCTCTTCTTATGGGGCCACAAGAAAGCGATGGATTTGGGGGCGACGACTGAATTTGGGGGCTCCCAGGGGGATTCCCACTGCATCCTCTCCGAACACTGCCCCTGAGAGCAAGTCTGCTTCCCCGTCGCCCACGTGTGTACCCCAGGTTAGCGTGTCATTTAGGCAGGGGGTCGACTAAGCGCCTCGCCTCTTTCCCAGGAGGCATAACCAGGGGTGTGCTCTTCTAAGGAGCTTGTTGGACACAAGCAGCAGAGATGGACCCGCTCTCGGGAAGACACGAGGAGCTCCGAGAGTCCATGGTGGCGGGAGAGGCTGGGCAAGGAGCTGCCACAGCAAAGACAACACAGCCACCCACGGCCCTGCCACAGGGGCCAGAGATTCAAAATGCTGGACCAAGAATCCCGTGGACCAAGCCCAGCCACGTGCTGCCCCCTAGCGGTGAGAGAGAGAATCTCACTCCCCTTCCACAGTAGAGACTCAATACCCGAGGGCTTCCGTAGACACCCGAGGGCTTCCCTAGACACCCGAGGGCTTCCCCAGACACCCGAGGGCTTCCCCAGACACCTGAGGGCTTCGGTAGACACCCCCGAGGGCTTCCCCAGACACCCGAGGGCTTCCCCAGACACCTGAGGGCTTCGGTAGACACCCCCGAGGGCTTCCCCAGACACCCGAGGGCTTCCCCAGACACCTGAGGGCTTCGGTAGACACCCCCGAGGGCTTCCCCAGACACCCGAGGGCTTCCCCAGACACCTGAGGGCTTCGGTAGACACCCCCGAGGGCTTCCCCAGACACCCGAGGGCTTCCCCAGACACCTGAGGGCTTCGGTAGACACCCCCGAGGGCTTCCCCAGACACCCGAGGGCTTCCCCAGACACCTGAGGGCTTCGGTAGACACCCCCGAGGGCTTCCCCAGACACCCGAGGGCTTCCCCAGACACCCGAGGGCTTCCCTAGACACCCGAGGGCTTCCCTAGACACCGAGGGCTTCCGTAGACACCCGAGGGTTTCCGTAGACACCCGAGGGCTTCCGTAGACACCCGAGGGCTTCCCTAGACACCCCCGAGGGCTTCCGTAGACACCCGAGGGCTTCCCCAGACACCCGAGGGCTTCCATAGACACCTGAGGGCTTCGGTAGACACCCCCGAGGGCTTCCCCAGACACCCGAGGGCTTCCCCAGACACCCGAGGGCTTCCATAGACACCTGAGGGCTTCGGTAGACACCCCCGAGGGCTTCCCCAGACACCCGAGGGCTTCCCCAGACACCCGAGGGCTTCCCTAGACACCCGAGGGCTTCCCTAGACACCGAGGGCTTCCGTAGACACCCGAGGGTTTCCGTAGACACCCGAGGGCTTCCGTAGACACCCGAGGGCTTCCCTAGACACCCCCGAGGGCTTCCGTAGACACCCGAGGGCTTCCCCAGACACCCGAGGGCTTCCATAGACACCTGAGGGCTTCGGTAGACACCCCCGAGGGCTTCCCCAGACACCCGAGGGCTTCCCCAGACACCCGAGGGCTTCCATAGACACCTGAGGGCTTCGGTAGACACCCCCGAGGGCTTCCCCAGACACCCGAGGGCTTCCCCAGACACCCGAGGGCTTCCCTAGACACCCGAGGGCTTCCCTAGACACCGAGGGCTTCCGTAGACACCCGAGGGTTTCCGTAGACACCCGAGGGCTTCCGTAGACACCCGAGGGCTTCCCTAGACACCCCCGAGGGCTTCCGTAGACACCCGAGGGCTTCCCCAGACACCCGAGGGCTTCCATAGACACCCGAGGGCTTCCGTAGACACCCCCGCGCGCAGATAATGCGCCGCACGGAGGGGCAGGCAGCCTCCTCTGAAAGGACCAGAAATGACGTCCCTGGATTTATAGATCGGGGGGCGGGGGCGCACAGGAGCCAAGCGGCGTGAAACATTTCATTAGCGAATGCGCCACTGCGGCTGGTGACTAAACGGCTCCGGCAATTAGGCTGTTGTTCCTGGGATGAGAGAGACACTGTTTGACGGCTCGTCCTGCTGTTTGTGGCTGGTACACCCCCGAGGGCTTCCGTAGACACCCGAGGGTTTCCGCAGACACCCGAGGGCTTCCGCAGACACCAAAAAAGCGTCACAGGTTGGACGGCCACGAAATGACAAGAGCCGACCGCAGGGGAGCCCCTAACTTCTGAGCAACGCCATCCCCACAGCCACAGTCCCCACGGGCCGCCCATCAGCAGAGCCACGGGAGTTACAGCCCCAGAGCCCGCTCTGCGCTGGCCGATGCAATCTAAGCAGAGATCCGGCTCCAGAGGCTGGCTGTGCTTCCTCCGCTCCCGCCTCCCCATTTCCCCCAGTTCCTGGACGCACAGAAGGACTGCAGTTCACTAAGGCCACTGGGGCCGCCTGCTGGTTCCAGGTGATTGGTTACAGCGGCACCTCCAGACCCGGCCCTGCGCCCCAACAGCCCGGCGGGGTGGCGGCCGCACTCGGGTGGTCCTTGTTGAAGAATCCCAGCTACTAAATGTATAAGGAATAACATAATTTGGAAAACACTATTTTCTAACTTCTAATTAAATAATTGATTCAAGTGAATATTATCAATTGATGTTGAAATTGTGAGTGAAAGAGTGGTAAACTGAGTATTTTCACAGCCCAAAAGATCATCCCACAGATTACCTGCTAGTTGCAAATGGGAAAATAGACTATTTTTTTTTTTTTTAAATATATTTTATTGATTTTTTACAGAGAGGAAGGGAGAGAGATAGAGAGTTAGAAACATCCATCAGCTGCCTCCTGCACACTGGGTGACAGACCGCGGCCCCCACGGCCCAGGCAGCCGTGCCGCTCAGTCTAAGGCAGGGCCGCGTGGACATGTATATCATTCGCGGGCCATAGAGCCGTCACCTTAAACATTAGCCCAGCCCGCCGGGCCCAGTGTTTGAGCATCGACCTAGGAACCAGGAGCTCCCGGTTCGATTCCGGGTCAGGACACAGGCCCCGGTTTTGGGCTCGATCCCCAGTGGGGGGCGTGCAGGAGGCAGCCGGTCCATGACTCTCTCATCATGGATGTTCCTCTCTCTCTCCCTCTCCCTTCCTCTGTGAAGTCAATAAATTAGGAAAAGAGAGAGAAAGGCACTTGTTCACACCTCTCCTCGGGCCTTGAACTAGTGGCTGCGTTGAACCCTCTCTGCATTAGATGCTCCAGTGTCCGCCTCTCCTTTAAAACCCTGGGGACCGGGGGAGTGGGCGGGGCCCTGGCAGTGGGCGTGGTCCCGGCAGTGGGCGTGGTCCCGGCAGTGGGCGGGGCCTCACCTGCCCATTAAGAACAGAGAGAGGAGCTCAGAAGGCGGCTGGGACGCACTTTATTCTCTTAAAAACATGCTCTTCCCGCACACGAGGCCCGGGTGCGTGTGGATGTGAGGACGGAGGTCGGGACGTGCGGTACCAGGGGCCGCGCACCGGGAGGTCAGGACCAGGGACAGCGCCCGGCTTCCCAGCGGAATTTCAGAACCAGCTGCATCGGCATCGCGGGGGTCCGGCCACGGCCACGCGTCTCCTCCTTCCGGGCTCAGCCGGCCCTTCCTCGCCTCTCGGTGCCGGACA